GCTAACAAGGGTGTCTCTGTATGGGGTCCTCACAGCTCCACAGGCCGCACCTGCAAGCAGCTGCATGTGGGCCATGGTTGTGCACCTCCGACATATTCAAAAAGGCAGAGATTCATGGACGACCCTTCTTCAAGTTCAACACTGTCAGCTGTGATCAAGCAGCAGATTAGGCATTAGCACGCAAATAAGTTTCTAAATCCTGATGGTGAGGCAGCTTTAAAAGAGATTGATTTAAAGTAGAAAACCAAGAGAGATCATGTGAACCTTTTTTTCCAGTTGCTGTAATTTCCTGCTCTAATTCCTATCATGGATTTCTGGTTGTGCATTTACAATCGCAAATGCACATATTGAAGTGTGCTGTGGGGAGTTTGACCCAAGCAATGTTTGCTCACTTCTTGATTTATCCACCTCAATGACAAATGCTGGTGCACCATTTTTATTGCATTGCCTAGAGTAGGTACTCCCGAAGCAGGACCTGCAAGTGCCAGGGGTCCAGCAGGACATCTGCTGAAACCTGCAAAAGTGTCCGCAGCATGGCACTCCGAGGCACTCAGTTTTTACATTATTTTTCCTGATTTAAAGTATGTACATGGATTTTTATGGAATGTGTACAACTTTCTAGCAGTTGATTGTATGCTTCAACAAAAGTGGACCAAATATTCAAATAAATATCAATTTGAAGATAGCATCCATATTCCACCTGTTCTAATACTGAAGGCATTTTAAGTTCCTCAATATATTGCATTATAGAAGGTGAATGTTTATCCTCCCAATGTTGTAGTATCAGTCTTTTAGCTCTCAACAGAGCATTAATTGAGAATTAACCATCTTTTACATTTCCATGAAGAAGCAAATAATTTAAAATTGGTATACATCCGTGACTATTAAGGGATGTTTCAGTACAATATTTATCTGTTTATCCTCCTCCCAAACTCCTCCCAAAAAGAAGCCATTCCTGGACATTGCCAAAATAGAAGTTCAGGAAAAGCATTTGCTATGCTGCTCCACCAGCCATTAGCTGAATGAGACAATCCCTTATTGTCCTTGTGATGTCCACTGGACACAGAACAAAGCCAAAGACTCCATATTTGCCCTCCCGCCCCTTGAGATCGGCAGCAGAGGCCCTCATCCGGGAGCCCCCCGGGAGAGACATCAGGAGGCAAAGTACCCGGAGGAGGGCCTTCTCCCCGCCTATGGAATGCGCTCCTCAGAGAGGTCCGCCTGGTGCCGTTGTCATTTGCTTTTCGGCGCCAGACTAAGACCTTTTTATTTAAACAATATTTTAACAACTCTTAATAATATCTATAGGTTTTAATTTTGCAGCCAGGGTGATTCTGAGATTTAATTGTATTATTTTACTATGTATTATGTTTATTTATTTTATGTGAGCCGTCCCGAGGCTATAAGCGATGGGACGGCATACCAAAATTATAAAGAAAAAAAGGAAGGAAGGAAGGAAGGAAGGAAGGAAGGAAGGAAGGAAGGAAGGAAGGAAGGAAGGAAGATCTACAGAAGTAACAGATAGATGCCAAAATGGAGATTGACCAGGCATTTTGTGGTGGAGCCCACAGTAGTTTCTCAAGTTCCCAAATGTGCCCACAGGTCAAAAAAGGTGGAGGGCCACTGACCTAGAATGCATAGTGGATTGTGAAAATGACTCGATTCAGCTCAGTCTTATATTTACAATCCTTACTGTATTTTTAATGAATTGTTGCAAATGAGAAAACAGATGACCCCAGTAGTCCAGATCACCATAGCCCATGCTGATGTAAGGGGTAAGGGGAGATGCAGGCCCAAATACCCAGAGCATGTCATGATACTCACCTGAATTGATTGGTCCAACATCTACTGTTGCAAACATACCTTGTTCCCATGGATCATGAGCCCCTACTGACCGCAATATCCAACGGTGTCATTCCATGATCTCACGCAACAGAACAATGCTGTACTTATTTATATATTTGATGCTTTTATATACCATTCCTTCGCATGAGCATCTTCCAATTATACCAGCAGTTGTGCATGACGCTCATCTCGTAAACATAATGAACTGGTTGCACAACTGTGATGTAGACTTGGTTGTGCAGCTGCACTTGTGCACATGTAACATCAGTTGACTTCTCTTCTACATTGTTCAGAAGCTATTTTCTGCCAATGCAGTGTCAACCCTTGAATATTGCCCTTAACTTCTAAGCAGTTTAAACAAGCCTTTCGTAACCTGACATTCCCCAGATATACTAGCCCCTTGCCAGCAAGCCGGGCCTTAGAGATTGCACATGCCCATCTGCAGAGGAAAAGTGCAGAATAGCTGAAAGGACTGCTGTGAATCAGCAATGGGGAAGCACTTTCCTGCCTGAGGGCCAGATTGACTTAGGGCAAGCATGTCTGGGCACACATGCAAGCAACAGGTAGGGTCAAAAATGCCATCACACTGCAATGAGACATTTTTAAATCCTTTATTGCCTGAACTGCAGGAAGGAAGGGTTTTTTGTTTTCAAAGATTCACAGAGCAGGGAAACGAAAGGTTCGCCCTTCCTTCTCAAATAGAACCCTCCCTTTAAAAAGTCCCCCATACCATAATTAGGCTTTTAAAGGCTGTGCTTGCAGCACTGGAGGAAGCAGAAGAAACCCCTGATCTTCCATCAGAAATAAGGCCAATAGCAGGATGTGGATGCTCCCGGAGACTGTATCTAGTCTACGGGTGGGTGGTTCTTAAGAAGAAAACTAACCAAACATAATCAGAACAACTTTTCAGAATAATAGTATTGCTTTAATCCCAGGGTTACAGAGAGAAAATACATCCATCATTCCCAGATCAAAAATAATTTAAGTGAGAAAAATTAACAACTCAGAACTGCACAACAGAATATTTCTATTTAAAAGTGCAAACCTAGTTACATTTGCCCGAGTGTAAGCCCCACTGAGCTCAGTAAGACCCAATCCCAGACTTCATCCGTAGCTTTGTAGCCTAAGGCTAACATCCTCTGCATGCACTGATTTGGGAATAAACCTCTCTAAACTGCGTGGAACGTATTACACACAGCAGCCCCTATAAGGATGGTTGTTCTGATGGAGCAGCAGGACCATCCACTGGGCTTTTTTAATTTTTTAAAATTAATAGCTTCAGGAGAAGTAAAATGATATGTACTATGGCATTGGTAGATTTAATCTCCCTCTCATGCTCTGCTGTTTTCCAAGTTAAAATTCTACCCCCACCCCCACACGGAGGGCAAATATTTGCCCTATGTTTTCCCCACTGCAGAAGAAAGAGAAGTTGAGGAGGCAATTTTAAGTGGGGTGGAGGGAAGCATCAACAACACATAACCCCGTGCTATGGTCCCAATCCAATTCCAAGAGGCCTGGCTACTCTTCTTCTCTTTCTAGATAGATAAGTATTTACTGGAGGCAATGCTAATCATGGCTCACTTGACTCTGTGTAAGGCATTTTGCAAGTGAGTCAGGCAACAATATCTCAGTGTCACCAGTCCAATTACTCATCTTTGTACTATCCCCAAGTGCCAACAAATGAAAGGCCAAATATACCCAACCTGCACAAAGATGCCTGAATGCTCTGCAAACTCACACAAACAAATCCAAAGGCATCTTTCATTTCCCTGTCCAACAAATTGCCGGGGAGGCCACACTCAGGCTTAAGAAGCGTTTATGAAGATCAGGCCTTGCAGCAGAGCACCAGTTTGTTTCCAGTAGAAAGCTGCTACGAGGGGCCACAGCAAGCTGGAGCACAGGGCGCTCATCTCACCCTCACCTGCATGCGGTTCTCCTGATCTAAACTGTCTCCTAAAAGCTCATCATAACCTGACAAGGAAGGGTTGGGAGAACCTGACAGCCAGCGGTCAAATTTGGCCTTCCAGAGTTCCCCTGCTGGCTTCACCTTCTTTCCTCAACCTTTTGGTGGTTTTTCTTTTCTTTTCTTTTTTGCATGCCCCCCCCCCCTCTAAAAGTCTGAAATGTCTCTCTGAAAGCTTGATTACCAGCGGAAAGAGTATTAAGATACAAAAACCCAGTATGTTTTGCCCTGACTTTGCCTTTGGCACCAGACCTTTCCTTTTGGCTCCAGTCAGAACTGGAATGCAGTCCACCTTCAAAAACTTGCTTTTAATCATATCAAATCAAGTAGGATGGACATTCTACTGAAACAGAGTCCTTTGTGCAATGACATTTTCTGAACTTTTTTCCTCCGGATGTGGATTTATCCTTATCAGGGCCTCCAAAGTTCACTGAGTTCAGGCTCAGATTCTGCAGTACGGGGACTCCTAAAAGCCTACTTCAAATAATAGTTGAACTTTACATACCCCCAAATTCCTCTCTGGATTGGATTAAACCTGAACAGGAGAAGAATTCCCAGTGTTCTCCCCACACCACATAAAAAAAAATAAATCCCAGTGTCCGAAGGGACTTTTCCTCCTTGTGTTCCAAAGTGAGTTGGAGAGCCAGAGAAAAAGAAGGTGAAAAAGAGCTCTCCATTGCTCCCTCTGCTGCCTCACTCCTTCTGAAATACCTCTGTCCCGGACAGATAAACCATGGCAAAAAGAAATGGGAAGGAAGGTTTGAAGGGTAATTTGGGTTAGGTGAATGACATACTAAGCTTGGCTTAGCATGAATGCTAATTTCCATTTTTCAGGTGACAATATCCCGGTGCATTTCCAAATCAAGCCAAGCTGAACAGGGGCAAGTTTGCCCGCATTTTGTTATCCTTTCTCAAGATGGTCTGTCAGCACGTCTCAGGAAATACTACACAGCACCTCTGGCACAAAGGTCCCTCTCTAAACCCTGCTGAGATTCTTTAAAATACAAATACCCGAAATTTAAGCTAGGGCCTTTGCTGTGTCCTATAGCACCAGCTGAAGGGTCCTGAAAGCAGACATGCCTTAGAATGCATCTTGGAATGCATCAGTCAGCAGTCAAGCTCTTCACAGCCGGATCTTTGTGATGAGAATGAGGAAGTGAAGGCTCAAGTCAGAGAAGCATTCATGTGGCAGTCAGATGAATAAGAAGCTATGAACAGAAGGACAAGAGCAAGAGTTCAACTGCTGAACTTTCTTCCAAGTTCCTCTGCACCTTGGATTCCCCACAGCCTGCCAGTGCAGTAGCTGGTTCCTGCAAAAGAAAGAAAAGGCAAAAGCAAAGGTGTGGCAATACATCCACTTCTCCCAGGGCAAAAACGACTCCATGGGTCAGCCAGGATTTCCGCAAGCTGGTCATGCACAGAGCATATAGATTCAGAGGATCACGTGAAGGGTGTGCAAAAAGGTCCACCCAATTCAAATATCTTTTTACATACTTCAATATTAGCCACAGACTGACCTTGTTTAAGAAGAGGGACAACACAGTGGTTTCAAGGCACCCAAAACTCCCTGCCAGAGCCTCAAGATTCAGTACAGCTAACTGAACAGCACTAAAGCAGAATGATCCACATTTCACATTTGTATGTGTCTCTATTCCCCAGTTTGCAACTCCATACATCTCAGAGGCCATTTATATTTTGACACGTGGAAGCTGCTTCAAATAGTCTTGACTGCTGTTCTCCCCATTGTTGGAGTACATGCCGTCTGCGTGGAGCTCTAGCTCCTATCCATGGCATCACCTCTTGAAAAGTAGCAGAGCTAGAAATATGCTTGCCCAAGACTTGCATTGGTTCGTGTACGAATGATCACATGATTAATTCTCTGGGATGCTGGGTTCTGTATCCATAACCTCAGTTCCTGGCAATGTAGGAACCCTTCATACGTGGAAATGAAATGCTTCCTTTCTACACTGCCCTGTAACCAAAGCACTCAGGCTGGTTTACAAGCGATAGTATAACCAATTATACAAATAACATAACCAAAGGGTTAATATTTAAGTTTCGGATAGTAATGTGCAGGCTCACCTTTGATTACAGATGCTGTCCTGCTGATGAAGAAATGCAAACAAGATTATATTTAGAAAAACAGCTTCTTTCATCCTTCCCCATTTGCATGTACATAAATGTCCATAAGAAAGCTGCATTCCAGTGACTGCCTCTGCCTGCAAACTGTAAGGAACTGCTAATCTTTGCAGGCAGGAGGTACCAGGTTTTCCATCAATTTTCAATGCATGCTCTTTGCAAATGTCAGTAGCACTTATTCAGGCCTGAATTTTCTAGTACCCTTTTTAATGTACTAAAACTTGCTACATCAATAAAAAGGCTGGTTGTTTTAGGCTTCTAAAGTACCAGCTGGAAAAAGAGACAAACGCCACTGCAGCAGCCAAGCTGTCTGCAGCTTTCAAATCCAAATTTTAGGTTAACTTGTGTGCTGTACGCTGTTCGGGCTCTTTTCAGAGAGACAGAGGGAGGGAGGGAGGGAGGGAGGGAGGAGGAGAGACTGTACTTTTTCAAACTCTGGGGTTACCTATTTTGGTCCCAGTGCTATTGGCACTAAGCACCTGAGTTTGCTATTAGAGGGAGTGATGATGCCTCACAACCATCCTGTCCTTTCATTGAACCCTTGTAAGACATGAATTGTCTCAAGACTACATGCCCTTTCCACCCATTCTAAAGACTTTCTCCAGCTGCTCTCCCTTCTCAAGTGAACAAGAGTGGCAGATCTTCATGTCGCCACATCCCCCAGTTGAACTGACCAATGCCTCGAAACCTATTTTGGGAAGAAAGGAGGAAAGATATATTGACAAACTGGCCCAGTTACACAAGACATGACCTTGTGGGACATTCCAGACATGGCTGAGCTAATTCAACAAAATGCTTTGAAGTGTACATGTGCAAGACCAAAATTAGATCAATCCATTAAGGCAAATTCATAACCGGTGAAATGCTTTAACAAAAACTGTTTTCCGAGCCCAACTTTTTCTCTTCTTTTATAAAAGATGGAAAAAAGGGATCTCAACAAAAGCAACAAAAATGGCCACTCAAAACGTGCTTGTCCTATAAGAGCAGGCAACCTTTCTGCTGAGGGCTGCCTGTCAGGAGGTGAGCAGGGTGCAAGGCCACAGGCCAGACTGTAAGGCACTGAACAAGCCAGCTGCAAAAGCCAGGCCAGGGGGCTTCTGTCCGAGGGGCCCAGCGGGGGTGTGAGTCCTGGGCATCTACCCAAAAGCTCCTCCCTTTGATCTGGCCCTTTTTGGGAGATACCAGGACATCAACCTGCGACCTTCTACATGCAAAGTGTGTATTCAACAGTGAGTGATAGCCCTTCCTTGTCCCCCTTTCCAGCCTCAGCTACCCACACTTTTTTGGAGGAAAATTCAGCATCTAGACCAAGAGCGGGGAACCTCCAGCCCAATTTGTACCCCACAGGCAGCCCAACCACTTGAGCCTTGGGTGAGGCCCCTCCCCTCCCCTAAAGCCCCACCCCTTAGAGACCAGCAGGAAAGACGTCCGTACTGTAATGCTGGATCAGACTGGAAATTATAGAGGGACTTTACCTGTGCAATGCTCCCCTTGCAAAAGGAAGAGGGTAGTGTACTAAGTGCCTTGCCCACCCAAATTCCTCCCAATGCTGCTGCATAGATACTTATAATTGTTTACTCTTAACATTGCATTTATGTCTTGCCTTTCTTACTCTTGCAAGGAACCTAGGGCAGCTTCCTCCTCTCCCCTTTATCCTCACAACACCAACCCAGAGAGGTGGGTTAGACCAAGAGTCCATGACCAGCCCAAAGTCACCCAGGGAGCTCCAGGGCTGAGTAGGGACTAGAATCATAGGATAGTGGAGTTGGAAGGGGCCATGAAGGCCACTGGGTCGAACCCCCTGCTGTTGCAGGACACCACATTACACCATCCCACTCTGATGGCTGACTAGATCCCAAATCTGCTAAATTCGAGTTCAGTACTCTTAACCACTACACCACACTGCCTCTCCAGGTGTGAGCTGGAGGAGCACTCCTCTACCTGTTGCTTGGTTGGGCTGGCTTTATTGGGTGTGGACTTCCCCCAGGCAGAGAAAGTCTGCATGTAGCCAAGCCAAGAGATCCAGCCAGCTTTTGGCCAGGAACTGGATGATGTCAGTGTGCATCGCCCTCTCAGCTGAGGTCATCCGCCCCACGGAAGGCTTGTGGCAGTGATACAGCTCCCTAGCCCCTTCTAGTTCCCCTTCCTGGACTCCACAGAAGCCAATTGTATTGTCCTACTCTGCATAGTTCATCCACACGAATTCATCATTTGTCCTTTTAATACTCTTTTCTGGGTAATTTTTGGCTTTTCTCTCCAACCAGCTTGAACACGCTTAAATAGCTTCTTTCCTTAGCATGACAGAAAATGTGGTTCTATCAGGGAGCCTTCCAATTCCTAAAGAAAAGTCTCACCAGCCTCAAACTATAGTTCTCAGGACACTTGGGGTAAACCCTGACAATGTTTTATCTTATTATAAAATATATACTTATTATCAAAAATTAGCCATGTATTCAATCATAATGTAATGCAATCAATTACATTTGGGAGCCAAACTATATACGTTAGTTACCTGTTTAAACAGGCATACCTAACCTGGCTCCTATTTTGGATCCCATGCCTGTTTTCTCCTGAAAACTGCTCTCTCCTGCTTCTGGGCACTTCAGCTCCTTTAAAGTGCTCTTCACTCAAAGCAGTACCTTCGGGAGCAGACAGCAGCCAAATGGATGGTGGCTTTCAGCAGGAATTCATTGAGGAGCCCCACAGCTGCTTTTTCTCCGAAATAAGAGCAGCCAGGTTAAGTCGGCTTCCTTAAACTGGTGACTCAACACCATGTGTCATCTAGCTCATTGAAAAGTTGGCTTCCCCTTGATGAGAGATGTGCAGAAGCAGCACTAGTGAGTAATACATTGGTTGCATCAGTTGACCAGGTTTCTTTGCCGCAGTTGAATCACTGCAGCTCATACTATGGAATTCACTGCCACAGGAAGTAGGGATTGCTTAACCAGTGCTTATAATGGTTTAAAACGGGATTGGACAAATTCATGGAGGAGCAGGTGGCTGTCTGCTACTAGCCTTGCTGGCTATGTGCTGCCTCCATTATCAGAGCCCGCATGCTTGCGTACGCCAGTTGCTGAGGCGCTTGGGCGGGCAAAGGCCTTGTCCCCATCCCGTTGGTGGGATCCAGTGGACAGCTGGTTTGCCACTGTGTGAATGGAGTGCTGGACTGGATGACCCCTGGTCTGATGCAGCATGGCTTTCTTATGTTCTTGTTCATATATGCAAGTCATCACTGGATAAGACAACTAAGGCATGGTGAACACGCATTTGCAAACTCCATCTATGCATGTCAGAGTTGCTGGACCTTTCTCAACCCAAGAGACAAATTCAATGTTTCAGCAGCTCTCTGGGGCCACTTCCCAGTGAGGGGAGGCCCAAAGGCAAAAGGGCTGGAGCAAAATATCAACCTATTTTAGCTTAAGTCTCTTCCTACCAAGACTTAGGAGAGGCTTTCACCCTTTTAGAATGGGGAAAACAGCAAAAAAATGGGAAACCACCAAATAGCTGGTGGTCATTGTAAAAAGAGTGGAGCCAGAAGAAAGGTGTGTGGCTAGCCAGGAAGCCCCAGACAGCTGGAAATGGAGCTCAGTTGAACAAGATCTGGCCCCAAGCTCATCGCTTTCTCTATATAAATGTGTAGCAAAGGAATGGCTATAAACTAAAAATGTATGTATGTTTGTATGTATCTACCACCATTTTTCCTGCAAGGAACCTGAGGCAGCTTACATAAACCTCCTCCTTTCCATGTTATCTTCACAACAATCCTATGAGGTAGTTTAGGCTGGCCCAAAGTCCCCCAGGGAGTTTCATGGCTGAGTGGGGACTAGAACCTGCATCTCCCAACTCCCAGTCCAACTTTCTAATTATTGCATCATATTGGCTAAGGATCTTGGCCTTCTTTTAGAAACTTGCAACTCAACAGTTTTTCATTGCACATTATTACATTCTTTTACTTGACTCCAGGGTTTTCCCAAACAGAAAAGCACTGTGTCTGGGTTTAACTTCCATTCACATCTTTCCTGTATTTTATGGTCTCTCTCAACCAGTACGCTTGCTATTATGACTCTCTATTGAAGTAACTTTTGCAGGAATATGCCAAAAACAGCGGGGTAGGGGAAAGAATATTTACAGCTTCATTCTTGTTCTAGGACAGAAATAAACCCCACCTAGAAGAGTTTGACCGCTGCAGTGTGTTTACAACCCCTAATAAACCAGCTTATGTGTACCACAAAATCTATTTAGAGTCCTGAAATAAAGCATCTTAGAAGTACTGTCACTGCATCATCAGGGCAGAACTATGCATTCCAATTGTTACGCATTAAGAACTGATCTAGCGTGCCAAGATGCTTTTCAGGAATGATTCAGACTCAATGAATGTCCATAATAATTGCAACATCAAAGGATGACTTCAGTGTATGAATCAGGAATCACAGATCTAACACTAGGAGTGGATGATTCTGTCAAGTCCAGTTTTGCTCATTTCCTCAGTGTTGAGTTTGTTTCAACCCATTTTTGCATGCATTTCATTCTTTTTTAAGTTCAGACACACAAAATTTCCTGTGTAACTTTTTGTGCATTTTCAAAAGTTAAGCATTTTGTACATATTTTTGTTTCGCGTTTTGTCCAAACTATACACATTCGCAGGCAATTGCCCCCGAGGCAGTGTTCCAGTATGCCTTCCTCTGTCATCTGCCATGTGTGCCATATTTCTGTGCATATTTTTCAGTGGTACGTAAGCATTTTATGCACTTTTTTGATGTGCAAACTAGGAGTGCACACTTCCTAAGTAAAGAGGTATCTACATTGAACTATGCTCCACGTCTGGATCTGGGAAATGCCAATTTGGGGCATTTGCATAAGAACTGAATTCATTGGCCCCCCATCCCTATAGAAAATGTTCATATCATCTCCCTAGAATCATGTGCAAGGTGCCAGTCATGTAGATTATGCAAGAGATGTACATACATGCGTGAGCTTTGTTTTTGTAGGAACATCATCAGGAGATCCTGATCCAGGCACACGGACTATACCAGGAGTGTCAAGACCCTGGCAGATTAAAATGAAACGATCCAACAGACATTTCCAGCTGAGCAAGACAGAAAGGCGGACTCTCACTTTTTGGCTCCACTGCCATCCCCAGAGCAGTGCAGGCTCCTGGAATCCAGGGCTGGGTGCTGGCACTCCACACACACGGTGTGCCCTTCACTAAGGTATTTCATCCAATGTGTGTATGAGCTGTTCCCATGCAGGCATCCTTCCGTGATGGCCGTCAGCTGAAACTCGACGCAGTATCTGCCGCAGAAGAGAGAGAGGAAGTGACAGGAAGCGCAACCCTACACGCCTGGCTGCCAAAGCCAGAGGCAACACGCCTCTCAGTGCCAACTGCTAGCAAACACAAGTGGAAAGGCCCTGTTGCATCCATGTCCCACCTAGGGGCTTCCACAGACATCTGGCCAGCAGGAATTTTTGCCTTCTGTCTTAACACTGAAATCCACGCTCATCCCACATGGCTGATGGGTGGGAGGTTCAGGAGGGATAAAAGGAAGGACTTGTCACAAAGTGTGTAGTGATGGCCACGATGTGAAGTGGTTTTCAGAGGGGATGGGACTCATTTGGTACCTTCTCCAGTAACAGAAGAAGCCTGCCTATGTATACGGGTTGGTAGGGAACATCGGTGGGAGGATGCTGGAGCATCCAAGCCCGGCTTGTAGGGTTCCCATGAACAAGATGGGAACCTGAAGGAGCGCTTACATCCATATATGCCCGCCCGCCCCCTGAGATCAGTGGGAGAAGCCCTTCTCCGGGAACCCTCCGTGAAGGAAATTAGGAAGGTGAGAACTCAGAGGAGGGCTTTCTCTGCAGTGGGGCCCATCTATGGAATGCGCTCCCCAGAGAGGTCTGCCTGGCGCCGTCGTTATTTGTTTTTCGGTGCCAGGCAAAGACCTTTTTATTCAAATGTCATTTTAACTGCTAATAGTATTTATTTATTTTATTTTTGGCCAGGGCGACTTATATTGTTAACTTATTTTATATTGTTAATTTATATTATTTTAATTGATTCATGTTGTAAGCCGCCCTGAGGCTTCGGCGAATGGGGCGGCATAGAAATTTTCTAAATAAATTTGCTAAATAAATAAATAAATAAGATGGATGACCAAGTGGTGACCCTCGCCTAAGGCAACTGGCCTCTTTTTATGGTCTTCGCCAGACCCCTTTATATTCAGTGGGGTTTGGTCCCCCGTATGCCTGATTCAAAGCACTGGTGAAACTACTTCTCATCTGGAGGAAGCAACAGGGTATGCAGGGGCATTCGCCCCCCCCCCCCACCAGCACCCTCAACGGTATCCTACCCCTTCTGCTTCTTTTACGTTAACCAAAGTACCACCATGTGACCCGCAGGGTCATGCAATGATACTAATACTAACTACAGCGCTCAAATGCATTACTCACCCAGTTCGCTCATTCTCACTGGACACTGCACGCTTTTTCCTTGCTTTCCCATAGCCTCCAGTGGTTATTAATGCTGGGACTGATCACATCAAAGGGAAAAAGCAAACGCAACAGACATGATAAGCGACAACTGTGCCCCAAGCCCACTTACATCTGCAGAACAATAAAGATCAGGACATTTATGGTCTCTAATGCCATTTCATTTACCCTCTGGCAGGAAATCAACAACACTTCCCTCCCGCATTTCCAGGTCACCCAGGATTATCCATCATCCCACGGAATGGGAATTCTTCTCCAGACCTGCTCTGCAGAATCACCTTGTCATAACATGCCCGCTTCAAATCATCATCCCAGCAACTGGGAAGGAAGGAATGAGCTATTTTAATAATAATTCTCAGCAGGTTTGATAGCAAAACATATCCCAGTTTTAAAATATATCACTCAAAGTCTTCTCCAGCCCACAGATTTTATTTCGGTCTCAGCAACACTGGTTTTAAAAAAAAAAACTAGAAAGAAATGAAGGAAAAAATAATAATTCCTGTGAACTAGCAAGCTTGGCTTTCTGGTGGGTGTAGCTGGCCATGGCTTTGGCCATGTATATATTGCCAAAAAAGAGGAGATGTATCACCAAAAGAAGAGGAAGTGAACTTTGCCTGTGCCAACTTACAAGAAGAAATGCATATTTATAAATAACAGTTATAGTTCAAATAGAAATACAAGCTATCACTTCCTAGTGAAGTCTGTGACAAGGTGACCTGCACAGCTAGCTCCGAGCCTGAAGGGTAACATTTGTGGTGTAATCTTGTGCATGTCCACAACTCCCAGAATCCAGCCAGACAGTCGCACTGTTTGGGGCATGCTGGGAACTGTACCACTTTTTTCTGTTCAAAGAGGTATAAGACTTCACCCTTAATACTTGTTGATGGACAATGTCAGGATCCCTATTTCCCCATCTTATGGTTCTCTTTCAAAGCATATTGTCTTTTTCCTAACCTATGGCCCTTCTGACTTTGAGAAGGAGGATAACAAGTGAGTGGGGAACGAGATGCCATAGAGCCACTAGATTCTCTCCGTTTCCATTCCTACGCTCAACAGGGAGGCAGGTTGCAACGGGCTCAGAGGATTACAAAATGTAAAAAGTTGTTTGAGGACTGAGAAGCAAAAAGAGCTTCTGCCACTCCTTCACCCGTCCCAGCAAGAGCCAGCAGGGCTTAGGACGCAAGGGCAGACCTTTGTGCCCCTGTCCTTAGTACATCAAAAAGCCTACCTTAGAATCTTGCCATGAATCTTTCTCCGCACATCACTCAAAATCCAAAATGGTGCCCTGTTCCACTTACTCAAGGACTGCTTGCACTCTGTCCCTTGCTGAGTCCAATACTCCAAGCAGCCAGCCTTCTCCTCCAGAGGGGGGCATGCCTCCCCGCCATTTCTTGGCTCCCGGACTATGCGCCTCCTTCGGACACGGTACGTCACTTTGCAGGGTTCCGCACAGCCACTCCACTCACTCCAGTCAGAGACCAAGCAAGAGACCACTGGAGGAACAACAAGCAACATCCTGCACATTGGCAAGTCGACAGGAGTCCCCTGGAAAGAGAACCTGGACTCATTCCTGCCAAGCAACTTAGATGTCCAACCTAGTTAATGTTTGACTGAGTGCCTGTTCGTACCTACAGTAGAGCTTCAGTTATTGGGTAGTATAGAGATGATGATAACAGTGGTGATAATGATAAAGATAAGATAGACTGCACAATTTCGTTCTGCCATTAGGACATACCTTTTTTAAAATGTCCATCATTAAAAAAAAAAAAAAAACCACAGCAATGGTTCACTGAGAAAGATCCCAGCTTAAACTTTTCTCTCATTTTCTAGTTAGAAAATGGACTAATTTTTGTAGGTCAATTTTCTACCTACAGGATGGGTTCTTTATTTTACATAAGGCTACATTCCAAATTCTATTTTCACAGTCTGAAATGATCCAGTTCATTTTGCTGGCTCTGGTAATTAATGTGGAAGTACCAGATAGAATAGGTGGCATGATTTTTCTACATGTGCAATGCAAAGCACAATGTGTACAGCTTTTATCTAAATGTGTTTGTCAATAGTGATGTCTTTTTATCCCCTTCTCAGTCACCAAAGTAATTTACTATAGGCCAAAACAGCTATGAAAATAATGCAGTCTCTTATTTCTGCTTTTTCCAGAAACAGGCTGCCTGTACTTCAGCAAATTCATTGTCCTATATTTCTGCCTCAGACCATGCAATTTTGCTGCAGTAGTTGTGTTAGGGCTATGCTTAAAACAAATCAGCTGTGTTCAGACAACACACACCATGGCTTGACATCAGTTATTAAACCCAAGAAGAGCCATGGCACCCACAGAAACCATATCATACAAACCCAGTGAGTGTGGTTGAGCAACCCTAGCAAACTCTAAAACAGACCATGGATTATCCAAGGCTTGTTTAAACCTCACATGACCCACACTTGCAGGGTTCACACAGCCAGACAAATCCCAGGTGATGGATGCATGCTTAAAATTGTGGGTACACATACTACACATGTGTTAAATAGTGCATAATTGCCCCTTGCATTATGCAAAAAACCCCTAAGAGTCTTGAGTGGCAGAAAGAAACAAAATGTACAGAAAAATGTACAGAAGAGGTATGATAGCAACCCAATGTGCAACAATGAGAATTGATAATCACCAAAATAAATGGAATTGCATCAGAATAAGTAGATAGCAGACCAACAGCTGTCCAATCACCCATTCTATAAGAGCAATAATTCACAGGTTCTGTTGTAACTGTCTTGCACCAGCACAGTTCATATATGGTCCTGTCATATGTGCCTATATTGTTCCATTTCATACCAGGTCAAATATGAATAGGAAGAAGCTATGATTTTGCAGCGACCAAAGCCACTAAACCAGCCCTTCCCAACCTGCTGGCCTTTAGAGGCATTTGGACCCCAACCCCCAAAATTCCCATTCAGCAGGGTCATTGACTGGGAATTCTGGGTGTTGAAGTCCAAACATGTCTAGAAGGCACAGGAATTTGGAAGCTGCACTGAACCAAAAATGCATCCTCCAAGTGGAAGTCAAACAAACCACAATTTCCAACTAGGGGCCAAAACAAAAAGTACTTTAAATGCATATTTAACAGCGATGACTTTTTTCATTTTTTGTTTGAGCTCTAGCATGTGAGGCGGGCTTTTAAGATCTGCACTGGGACACCTGCACCTTCTGTAAAGAAGAATGGGAAAAGGCATAACTGAACCCTCTCTGTACCAGTTGCTAGGAAGCAGATAGCTACTTTTGCATTCATGTTTTGTTTGAAGGTTTCCTGGAAGCAGATGCCCAGCCTCCGTGCAAGGGGAATGCTGGATGAAAGAGAACCTTGCTCTGATTCAGCTGGGCTCTTCTGATGTTCCCAGCTATGGGTACCTAAATTTTAAGTGGGAGTTGCATTCTCGAGATTGCTGTGGGGATGGGGAGACAAAGAAGATAACAGAATAATGTGCATGCAAAACGTTCCACTCAAGTGATCAAAAACTTTAAAAAATGAAGATGCAGAATAATCAATTCAAGTTGTTACAACTCAGATTCAAGCTAGATATCAGGAAAAGCTTCCTCACTGTCACAGCAATACAACAGTGGAACCAGCTGCCCTGAGAGGTTGTTGGCCCTCCCACACTAGAGACATTCAAAAAGAAGCTGGAGAGTCATCTGAGTGGGATGGTGTGAATCGGTGTCCTGCAATAGTACAGGGTTGGATGTGATGGCCTACTTGGCCCCTTCCAACTCTGCTAATTTATGATTCTATGTGCTACAGGGCAGTGCATTTGTCACACTTTGATGGATAATGCATTGTGATTCCTGAAGAATTCCACAAGATGGCACCACTTCAGAATAGGATGGTGATAATAAACATAAATCAACAACCCACAGGGGGGGATAAGGGAAATGCATTTTGGTAGATCTGGCAAATACTTCCCAAGCAACTTGTGATTTGGGACAGGATAATTTTATTTTGTCTGATTTTCCTGCCTAAAATAATAGCTTGCGTTCATTTTTTCACTACCATATGAAGCATTTGTCTCTTGGAAGGTTTTGCAGATATGGTGAAGAGAAGTGTGACAGAAGCAGGGAGTGTTGCACCAGCCAAATTCTGAATTAGGCTAAATAGTGTAAGTATTCATTCATTCATTCATTCATTCAAAACATTTGTATACTGCCCAATTGTGCCACAGCACCTCTGGGTGGCTCACAGTCATATCTCAAAGTCTTAACTTAAAAAAAAATACTCTAGTCCTTAAGGAGTTGAAAAGCAGTTTCAAATTTGCAGACATCTAACAGAACCTCAGAAGCCAGAAAAGGGTCTGAGCAGGATATCTGTCAACACGACCTTGAAGACAAACAAAGAGATCGTCACAAAGTAGAGTGCCTTACACCGGGGAGACAGGCACAGTAGCGTTGTGCAGCATGGGCTCACTGAATGTGGCAACAGCCCCTTTTTAATAGCAGCAGCCTTGATGTCATCAGCCACACCCTTCAAACTTCCTTGTTCCCTTTTCCTAGCAACCCTATCTTGTCCCTTGTTGTAATGAAAAGCCTGCTTTTGGATGGACAATTAAGACCCAGTAACTTGGTTGGACACCGTGATAACCCACACCAAAAGCTGAGTTTGAACTGAGTGTGGGTTGTTGTTCAACTGTGGGTTGTTGCTGAACCATGAGCCACTATGTTGTCTGAACCCAGCTG